GACTACACCCTTGGAAAAAAATCAGACAACACGGCATCTGACAGTGGGGGACCAGGGGACAGAGACAGAGGCGGAGTGGGCATCTAGGTAGGCCTGTCACGATAACCAATTTTGAAGTGTGATATATTGCTAAAGTAAATATAGATGAACGATAATACTGAAACCAAACCATAAAGCAGAATTATAACTCAAAAAGCATTCTAAATGTACAATATCATTAAAAAAACATGAGCTGCAATACATAAATAGAAGAAAACAATACTTATGTCATTAGACTGTACAGGTTTAGTTCATAACTGAACATTCTACAACTCAAATCTAATCATATTACAGAAAAAATAACACAAAATTCCCACTAGCGCAAAGAAGCAAAAAAGTGTAAATATTGACCTCTAAAATGACTGTTCTATCTGTCATGTGATATAGGAATTATTATGACAGGCCAACATCTAGGGAACATATGAAGTGTGAAAAGGAGTTAGGGTGTATGTTTGAGGATGGCTTAAAAGATGAGAATCTTAGTAACTCATCTCTGCCAGAATTGTATGTTTTTGCTAATGAATTAACAGAATGCCTGTCACAACTAAACATTTTGTATATATTTCTTTATATAGTACTGATTAAAAAAAATGCCATGAATAAAAAACTACCTTAAACACTTAAGATGCTATGTTTCTTTCTATACAATTTAGACAATCGATTTACAAAAAAACAAATCATGTAAAAGTAGAAACAAAACTGCTAAAGTCTTATGTTACTTGCAAGTATTGAGCAATATATAATGAAGATTCCTTACAGCCTGCATCAAATGAGCAGTGACAACACTTAACAACGATCAACTATTGCAATAACTCAGTTGTAATCCACACAATACCTAAGTGGACCCAGTATGTAGTCTTCACTATGGCAACTTCAATTAAAGAGAAAAAAATCTTTCTCTCTTTCTTCACTACTATATAATGGGACCTGGCAGCAAGGCTATTAAAACCATTAAGACCACTTAGATCAAACATCCCTCTCTTCTTGTATTATCTTAAACCTAAAATTCCTTTCTTTATCTTTCAAAAATGCCTTAATGATCAAACTCAACTATGATCCAACATACAACCAAACGTACTAACGGACAGGGCAGAGATTTGGCGTGCACTTACCATCCAATTACCCAGTGCTGGTGAGAAGAAACAGGGTAATTAATGCTCCACTGTTCTCCTCAGGTTTTATCAGAGGAAGTTCTTTATCTGGAGCCTGCTCAGGAGATGACCAGAGAGGAAGAAGAAAGTGAAAAATCAGAAGGGGAGGAGAGGTCCGGGCTTCCTCTGTAGTCGTAAAGATGATAGCAACCATGACATACCAATTAGCGTGGCATACCTAGGATATTCTTGCATTTTAACAGGTAGAAATAAAATATAAGCTTCAGCAAGATTGAGCCAAAAATTACACAGGGTAGAAACCAGGACAAAAGGCATATGTCAGGACTTTTGGAGATTAAAAGTATAAAATTTAAGTATCTGTACTTTATGTTTACTTTACTTCAAGTACATTTTCAATTAGATACATTTTAATCAGAGAGCAGGTATTTACTTCTTACATTACTACATATAAGTATATTTTATTATTGTTTGAGACCTGAGACCTTATTTTTAACACACTTGTAGTAAAATATACAAAAAAAAAAAAAAAAAACTGTAGAAAAAAACAATGATTCAGTGGTTTCTGCTGAACAAAATTTGGTTCAATCTTTATCAAAATTCGAGCATTTGACCTTTTTAAAATCTCAGTATAGGCATTAAATACTTTTTACTCCTGAAGTACATTTCTAAATGAATACTTTAATACTTTTACTTAAGTACATTTTTTCATGGGCTACTTTTACTTTTATTTTTTTGCTCTGGTATCTGTACTTTCACTTAAGTAACAAAATTGAGTACTTCATCCACCAGTGTCTGTAATTTGAGGTTTTTGTAATTATTTCGTAGTTTGTAGAAAATAATGCATGATTTTGTATTTTAAAAATCCATAAACCACAACATAACATATTTAAAATAAGAAGAAAAATAAAAGAAATAAATAGTAATAAAATAATAATAAAAGAAAAAATAGTGGTAATGTAAAGTTATGCCATATTGGCCATTAAAAAACAAACTGGATCCAAAGTTATTGCTAGCCAAGATTAAAGTGCATTTCAGTCGCAAAATGCTAATCATAAGACATTAAGTTCACCTCAAATAAGTGGAGCGTGGCATGTTCCAAGTCCAGAGTTGCAAGGAACTTTAATTGGAGGTTGCCATCTCTCCTCTCCCCTCTTTCTCCTTTTCTCTCTCCTCTCTCTCGTCTGTTTGACCAAGACGGGTAATCCCTGTAAATACGTATAATCCCTAAGGAAGAGCAAATATTACAACTCTGCTTCAGTGAAAACCTCCAGAGACTTGGCCACAAGACACTTGTTTGGAGAAAGAAAGGCCACGGGAAGAGACCGAGACGGGACACACAGGCAGGGCTGCAGTGGCGCTGAGCAGATACCAGGTGGCTCTGAATAACAATCACATTCCTATTAGCATATTCAAATAGGGAAAATAAAAGTTTTTTAAAAGACAATGGCAGCTCATATGCTAAGTGCTGCTAGCCACCGAAACAAACTACATACAGTGGTTGAGTGTTTGCTGCGTTGTGTGTGTTTGGTCGTCTCTATGGTCAAATCTATGAGTATTGACATACAGTAATCCATTTTGAGATTTAAAATTTACTCAGTTTCGATATTAAGGAATAGACTCGATATTCAGTACCATGATAATAAAAACTTTCTTTATTAAGATGTAATTTTCAACATTAAATCGTAGTATTTTTCTTGGGACCAGACAGATAAATCATGAAACAATTCTACATCAAAGAAGACCAAGCTCTAATCTTGTCAAAACTACTCTAATCCTTTAACATCTCAAATTTAGGCAGTTTTCTGACAAAGACAAGGTTTTTTGCAATGTGTGCTATCACTAGAGCAAACACAGTAAAACCATAAAAGGGACATTTTTCCAAAGGTGCACTTCCGCTGACACATACAAGCACATACCGGGTAAAAGAACAAATGTAAGGCCTTCTTTTGTCCGCACTTCTGAGCTAAAGGGACTGACGGCCCTGTTGCTTGTTCAAAGTCTCCTTACTATTTGGAGCCTAGCAGTCCATTAGTGTCCTGCTGCTTTTCTAATCCTCATTCACATGTAATGGCTGACATTTCATCTTAATGTGTTAATTCATTAGCGGCGAGCTCAATGGAGGAGGCTCAGTCCGCAGAGACGGCTGTGAGCAGACAAGCTAATGACTCCTCCTCACACTTTCACAGTGAGCTACCTCCAAAGATACCTGCCATGTAAACCATGACTGCCTGCTGCAAGGTAATCCACCATCACATCACAAACACTACGACTGAGACTACCTACATGGAAAATGATAAAAATGGTAAACTTGCTCCAAAAGTAATTCTAACTAAAGAAAGCTAGAACGTTTTCCACAAATCATCACATATACCCATATTAAGCTACTTTTTCTGTTATAATGTTGGTTCCTCATCAAAAACCTGCGTGGAGTTGTGTTTTGTTTCATTCACACATGTTTAACACACAAATCCTGCATATTTAGGCTGACTTTTGACTCTTTATCAGAAAACAGTCTGTTCCACCTTGTGATGTCACGTGAATACCGGTGCTCCACTGTGTTTTTAAATTCCATACACATTCACTTGAATTATTAGGATGATTTTAGCCATGGAATTGTCAGTCTCTTCTGAACTAAAGGTAAAAGTTGGCTGTTGACTTGAAAACTGCCACTGCCACATTTTGATCTTTAGAAATGTAGGTAAATTAATAATAATGCAGGTTTACTCAAACAAATGTGATTGAAATAAAACACAATTATAGGTATGTTTTTGATGAGTTTTGTTCAGTTCAAATGAACATCTGTTTGCATAATAATGTTGGTATTGATCAGTGTCTGAATATAGATTTTTTTTTAAATAATGCTAGCCATAAATACATAGCACTTCCAATCAACATGACTAACATTAAGAAATTGCAAAAATTCTTGTATTGAGTATTGAGACCTACAAAGTCCGTTATGATGTAATTTCTAAGTTGAAATGATTACTTGTATACCTTAGTCAGTGTCAAAAGTTAAGTGTCAAAATAATGAACTTAATAACAAAGCATACTAAACATACATAAGTGCAGCAAAATAATAAAAGTGTTACTAACTATAACTCCATGTAACATTTAACTAACTCAAACACAAAGGGATTCCCCATTCTACCTCAGCTGTCATCAGGAGCCCAGAGACAGATGCAGACAGAGAGGAGACAGTAGACGACCCATGAGCCACGGCACATTTCATTTGACCGGGATGCCTGACCTCGGAGCGCTGGGTGCAAACACACACTCCCCCTCCCCTCAGCAGCCCCATACTCCACCAGTCCCAGATGTGTCCTTCGGATGCGGGGGCAGGGGACAGGAGACAAGCTGGGGTGGTGGTCCACTCCTTGGACCTGTAGCCTCTGGGATCGCTCCTGTTATAAAAAGATAAATCAGAAATTAGCTCATCTTGTTGTCATTGTGTTGAACATTGCATTGATTAAAAAATACATGTGAGAGGGTGCAGGTACGAGGGGGGCACATGGAGGGTAGGGAGGGGGCCTTCCTGTCATTTGAATTAGCCTCTACATGTGGGGTCAATATGTGCAATGCTAAAGAGAGTGTGTGTTGGTAAGGGTTAGGTGGGGGCTGTTGTGGTGGCAGTAGTACCCCCCTAAACTACTGCCCCTCCCTCCCACCCACCAAAGGGCAGTATAAAGGCGAGGGGGAGAGCCACCTTTGTCACTTTGCTCTCAGTCACAGAGACAATCATTGGACACAAACACTTTGGACAAACACATTCCTTTGGGGGACTTTCTGGTTATCCAAAGAGAAAGAGGTGCAGACTGCCGGACTATTCAACTGAAAGAGTCAAGAGAAAAAGACAACGGGTTAACTGTCAGCATCTAGCCAAACCTGAGGACTTTGGAGGTCTTCAACTCTGTGGAAAGAACCAAAACATCCAGCTCTGAAAAGCTAAGAGCAGCCATGAAGATATTCAACCTGTTTTATCTGATGCTCCTGCTGGTGGCTCTGCTCGCGTCTGCGTCTTCGGCCAGGCCAGGTAAGCATCACAGCAAAACCACTACTACTACTGTTACTACTACTTTTACTACTACTACTACTACTACTACTACTACTACTACTACTACTACTACTACTACTACTACTACTACTACTACTGTAAGACGGACAAATAGTCACAATATAGCCTGAGTCTGTTGAGCTATTCGTAAAAAAAAATAATGGCAATCAACACGTGTCAGCTTTGTGCTAGAATGTCTCTAATGCTCCATGCAGGTGAGAGTAGTGTAACGTTAACACATTTCTACACTATAATTATTACTTAACTGTGCCTTCATTTTTAACTACACAAAATTACTAATCAAACCGAGACATGATAAGTCTTTAACTTTAGCTCCATGCGTAAAGCAGAACAAGCAGGGAGCACTGCTAATTAGGCTAATTGATGGCTTGAAAAGTCGCTTACAGTAGTTTATAATAAAAAAAACTTGTTGATTTTAATGCCCAGGCAAAAGGTAAATTAAATACTCCTTTCCATTAATTCCATTTTGTATTGTAATCTTATATGGATTAACAGCTAGCTAGCGATCGAGGTTTTATTTGCTAAAAGCGCCAAATCCGCCATGATGATAATTAACCAACTTCGCCAGACTAAAATGCTAACCTTTTGTATTATCATTTCTCAAACTAAACATAATGGTTGCCAAAACTTAAAAACTGTCTCTCGGTTAATTAAAAGTTTTACCCTTGCTGCGTGGCGCTGCTGCAGGTGTACGTGCGCGCAGGGTCAGCTGAACAGTGGCCGTGCGTAATAGTTTTCGTGTGATGGAGAGGAGAGGATTAGGAGCGCAGGCCAAAGGTGAAAAAGGCCTGTAAAACACCGCCGGGAGCTCATCCCCAAAGAGGGCCATTGTCCGGAGCTGGGAGGCACTCCGGTGCGCTTTTGTTAACGGTGGTGTAAAATGCCATGCAAATACCCAGGCTCTATTATCATGACATGGAGCTGCGGTGCCAAGTGTAAAAAAAGCTTACCTTGAGGCGAGGGGAGTAGATTCTTTCAGGGGGATCTCTCCAGGAGCGGGGGGAGGAAGAGCCATAAAGTCATCTGACCGTTTATCTCTTCCTGGGCTTGGCTCACAGCTCATGAACTGCGGGAGTCAAAGTGGATTTATTAGGGATTTTAAAAATAATCATGTGTTAGGTCCTTGGGTCTCAGTTTATTACAGGAGGGTGACACTACAGCTGGCAATAGGCTTTAACGTTTAGACACAGGTAGATCAATTACTCCAAAGGTGACTCCAGTTTTGGACTTCTTGACAATGCTCAAATGCACTAATACTAATAATAGTTTTCTTTCTTTTCTGTTTTTTTTTTTTTTTTTTTTTAGATTTTCTAAACCTCAGAAGAAGGTACCACAGACACCACTGCCCACACAGACGCTGCCTGCCCCTGCACTCCAGAGTACCTTTTCCTTGAGGTAAGACAGAGCCAAACACCAACAGAGTGCATTTATGTTTCACAGATGTTTTGGGTCAAAAAAGGATATGAGCAGAGCAGTGTTATACAGGAACATTACTAGGATTGAACCAGCAGGTGGCACTTAAGAAGGTGTGTGTGATTAGTAGCAGAGGTGCATGCTCATTCAAAACAGAGTTCATAGGAAACCAGTCAGACATAAATCTCACTAACAAGGAGGCACAAGGCTTAGGGCAGCTTTGGGGAACGGGAGGGGCACACTTAGTTTAATTTTGACCTGTTTCTATTGCCTGGACTGATTTAAGTCTTCAACAAGAACACTAATCATTTTTTATATTATTCACAGAGAAGAAAGAAGAGAAGAGAAGAAACAGCACCACAAGAGGCTGTAGGAAGCAAGTGGAAAACACGTGCATCAGGGCCGTTGTACCCGACCACAGGGCACACATTGTGAAGAGGAAAAGAGGCATTTATAGGCCTCGGGTGGCTTTCTGCAGAAAAGCCATGAGTAAAATGAAACCAAGCATCGATATAACCCACAATGCAACAGAACGAAAACCTGGGAGCTGTATGCCTGGAAGGACTCCTGTCAATTGCACCTGCAGCCTATGTGACCATGATTAAAACAAAGGGGAGCTATTGGGACTCTCAGCTGGACCAAAGAGCTGTGTTGTACTACAACATCAGCCACATATTCCTATAGTGTTTATATTGCGTGTATGCACTTCAGATGTTTATTGTATTGCATTTAATCTTTTTAATAAATGTATATGTAGTGGAATTGATTTTGTCTTCTTTCCTTACTAGTACTTTTTTAGAAGTTTTAGTTATTGACCATATCAGTTTTTTTGATCAATAGAATGTCCACTACAAGCAACAAAAAAATAAAATGGTTTATCCTAACCTTTACAAACCATAAGAAATACACTGGATTCTGCTATTATTTTAGCAGTTTGTATTTCAGTCTTTTTTTCAAATATCACTGCTTATGTACAGATTTAACATGTAGATTGTGAACTGAATTCTCATTTTAAAACTATCAAGTATCTAATTGCAATAGTAACACTAAAATCCCAATCTGACTTTTTTTTTTTTCTCAAAAATCACAGAACACACAAATCACTTTACTAACTGGAGTTCCCACAGCAGTTGTAAATCCTGAGAATCCTGTGGAGTCATGGATGTCAGAGCATAAAAGAATTACAATAGGAAACAAAGACAGAAGAGCCAAATAAAGAAATGTAGCACAGAGGCCAAGCAGGAAAGGCTATCACACCAGATGATGTTGGCATTCCAGTGTGTTTGAGCACTTCTGCAGCTCCTAAACTAAATTACACTGAGCAAACAGTCACTAAAACACACTAGAGTGAGGTCATTTTACCTCAGCATTGTCCCTTTGCAATGATACTACACAGAAAGTTGCTAAAATGAAATTAAGAAATATATTTTATTACAACCACAACACAGAACTTTTCCAAGTTAGAAAAATAATCAGATGAGACTGAGCATATAAAGTAGTATAAAAACTGTCATAAACAAATAAACAGTACCCCATGTTTTCAAAGAGCTCTCCTGGGAGACAGTATAGTGCAGATCATGTCTAAAACAGTGCATTCCCACAGTCTGAGCAGCAGCAGTAGTTTGCGCGGGTCACTGAGGGTCATAGAACAGTGATAAAAGCCTCGGGCTGTGATCTGTGATCTGTGACCCCTGACTCCTCTTGTCCTCCTCCCACTTAACCTCCTTAACGGTTCTCCACCTTCTGTGTTATTTGAGCAGCACAGGTGAGGAGGCTCCAACAAGTCAGTGCGTACAGGTGCAAGTCTTCAGCAGTGCTTTTCCTCCACAGTCTTTCTTAGAATACCCACACCATCTACTTTTTTCCAGTTAGTAAAATGATAAACAGAAGGCTAGCACAGACTAGTGCTGTGCAGTGAGATTGAGCAGTCTCCTGCTCAGCAGAGTGTTGTGTTGTTTCAGATACTCGATCAGGTCGGCCTGCTTGTCCACCACCTCAGCCAGACTGGAGCCCTCCCTGAAGGAGGAAATGTGCATGTGTTACAAGTATATGAGAAGTTTGTAACCTTTGCAACGGTTTATGTGATCTACAAAGAAACTATTAAATCATATGCAAAAATATACTGTGTCAGAAGTCATCTCGAAAATCTGGCAGGGTTAGAAGCTTTTGCATTGCTAACCCTTAAGCAATAGTATTAGATAATAAGGAATAAGCTTTTTTATATTGTGAATTAAATAATTATAAATTCTTATTTTTATTTTAAAAAAAGTGTTTCATATGCATTATATTATGAATTGAGCAATTACTACAATATACTTTTTCATATTCAGTAAATCAGTACTATGTTTGCATTATCAATTCAGTAACCTAAAAATGTATGAATGACTTGCAACCTTTATTGCCCTGAGGGACATTTGTCTTGCACAAAGACGGAACAATCAAGAACAGTACAGCACATTGGGACCATTAACGCACAAATAGTCAAATATCATGAATTCAAATTGTCCAAATTTTAAATTGTATATACCTGAATCCAGTCTCTATTGGCACACTGGTCACGCTGAAGTTGTGCGAATGCTCCTCTTGGCTCACATCAGGCGCCGCTCTCTCCTGATTAAACTGCACCACTTTAACTGAAAACAAGACAAACATACTGTACTTTTCAATGCAAATGAAACTAAAACATTTTTGCACATAGTATGAGTTGCGGGCAGGTGGGTAGCTTCCTCACCCCACTAAGCTAAGCACTCAGGTGAGAAAGGGCACGCGTTTTTACTGGCCCCTCATTGCTCTCCCTTTCCTAAAACACACAGCAGCCGTCACATCCAGCACTTAAGGCTTACGGCAGTTACAGGTCCTCATATCCTGCGTGCTAACCTCTAATTCAGCCACTCTACACATACACCTTTACGCAGGGGCGGGGCTGGCAGAAAGGTGTGGGTTGAGATGAGTGGGTGGGGGTCTGGAGTGGTAGTCAGCTCAGGGCTAGTACACTGCAGATGTGGGCTGAATCAAGATAAGACTATATATGTTTTGTGTTTGGCCTGTTGGTGGTGGGATCACATTCGGGGAAGGGGGCAAAGGGTGGGGCGCTAATCACACTCCAGTGTGATTAGTGGTTTCTAAAGAGGATTACTTAAATGTGCCTCAAATTATTAAATTGCCTCAAATTATCTATGGATATAAAATGGGGTTAATTTTGTTGGAATTTGCAGGTTGCAGGTCCTATATTATGCAATAATGACTCTTGTGAGCTTTAAGTTTCTGGAGTTTTGTTTCCCCAGACATGTTTGAGTAACCCTTTATTATTAGTGTGTCTTCATCTCCAAAACTCAAAATGCTCGGTTCCACCTTGTGATGTCATGATAGTTAGCAGTAGTTTTCAAATTAAGAGCTACCGTTTACCTTTAATTCAGTAGAGATAGGCAATTCCAAGGCTGAAATTATCCAAATGATTCTAGTGGAGATGTACAGAGTTTAAAAACACAGTGGAGCACTTCCTGTATTACCATATGACATCACAAGGTGGAGCAGAGTATTTACAGTTATTTACTTATTCACTATTTGTGTGAATGAATATGTGAATGAAACAAAACATAATTCCAGTTATGTTTGTGATGAGGAAACAAAATTATAACAGAGATCAGAAAACTGCATAATATGGGTGCTAAGGTCAAATATAATGTAATATAATTCATATTAGTGACTTCACTGTTGCAAAATAGAGCCAGGAGTAGGTGCTTGTCCAATAATGTTAATTAATAACACAAGCACATTTCTGACAACCTAGTTTAACACTTAAGAATAAAGAGTATTTTGAACACTAATACATGATTTAAGAGAAAATTTCATATAAAATAAATAAACAAGTGTGACAGTCGATTCCTATGCACAGCATTGGTGAAGGCCTCTAGTGTATGTTCCACTATGTCCAAACATATTTAACACCAGTCCTGGATCTCCATGCTGGAGACGTACCCCATGTGTCCGACTAGCATCCACGAGAGCCGTAAGCACTCGACCCAAAGGCATTCTGCACATTCCTGCATAATACACGACTAAATCTGGGACTGTTTGCGAGAGTAAATAGGTCCACAGTAAGCAAGTATGTGCCAGAGAATGAGAGGCATTCCAGAAAGCACATGAAGGCTTAAAAAGAAGAATGCAAAATGGTAAAGGACAAAAAAGCGATGACGCAGCAGTGTTTGAAGGGAGTTTGTGACCGAAGAATAGACTGGGACAAATGGCTGCCAAATATTTACCAGAGTTAATCATTTTACTGCTTAATGATTGCTCTGGGAATCTGCATAAACGTATATTATGGGTCTGGTTTGGTGTGAACCCCTATAGCAGTTATCTTATCTCCTAATATGTTTAAGAGCTGATGCAGCTGTACAAATGGTTTGTTTGATTACATAAATGATTCATTTATTAATTTAGTTCTGCAAAACGACAAGATAATGTAATGCAGTGTTGTCATAATAAGATTTTTAACAGAATTTTTTTATACTAAGGAGGAGGCTAAGTACTCTGTTTTGAAACCATTATGATAATGACAATATATATGATTTGGACTGAGATAATTCTGAAACTATTCTGTATACTATAAGTTCCAATTTTGTACTGTTGATGTGTTGTTGTTGTTTTTGTCCCCATTCTAATTTTGATACTAGTTTGATTGATTCAGATCTGCTGGGTATTGATACTTTTGACAGTTCTAATATAAATGTTAAGGTATAGTTTACACATATAATTTGACCTAAACACGGTAGGCTGGGACAATCAAGCATAAAATGACATTATTGCATATTATATCAAACATTCACAGTGAAGTCTGTATTTTCTTTTAGAAAGTTTGCTTTTTTTCAGTTATTGGAATTTATCAGATCATTTTGCAGTCCACTTTGCTTTTGAATCAGGTATGCAAATCATATATCAAATTTTACACCATAGGGTATTCATCTACAAATATATTTAGCAAGTTTTAGTCATGAGTCAGTTTATTTATGGAATTAATTCAAGGTTAATGTTTATGACAGTAATTCCTCAAATGGTGAGCACAGAACCATAGATATTGAAATGCAATGAAGAATGAATGAACACATGGGAAGCAACAGAATAGACAATAAATTGTATAAAATAAATCGATATTAGGGTCCCACAGGCAGACTGAATGTAAAGTAGAGATATTTGCTTGATTAAAAATACACATCAAACACGCTATACTACAGTATTTTCCCAAGTGAGCTGTGTCACATGACTCACAGTCTGGTCTATAGGAAGTCTTTAAAGCCATGTAACAGCAGGGCCAAAAAGATCCCAGGAAGGCTCGATTGATGGATGGAATGATGGATGGAGGAGTCTAAAAGAAGTGACAAATTTCACACGTCTCTGTTATAGGGACAGTCCCAGAGGTCTCACACTGGACAGACAGTGCTCAGACCTCCATCACCTTCAGCAAGTGCACATTTCCAGGTGATTATCAACAATACGGGAGGTGGGAACAGATATTAGCAAGTACAATAGTGTAGGGTTAGAAGTTCGGGTTATGCTATGATGAGGAAGCACAGCAGTGAGAAATAAAACAGCTAGAGGAATGTGTGAAGTGGCTCATATTAAGCTATTTTCTGATCTATGTTATAATATTTCCTCATCACAAACATACCTTGAGTTGTATTTTGTTTCATTCACATGTTTAACAAACAAATCCTGCATATTTAGGCTGAGTTCTTCACTCAAACACAAACCACTCTGTTCCACCTTGTGATGTCATGTGGTAAAACAGAAGTGCTCCACTGTGTTTTTAAACTCCATATACTTTCACTTGACTCATTTGGCTAATTTCAGCCCTGGAATTGCCAATCACTACTGAACAAAAGTTAAGAGGTAATTAAGGTGTTAATGTGACACCTACCACTATGTGACATCACAAGGTGTACAGACTAATAATAAAGGGTTACTCAAAGATGTGTGAATAAAACAAAGCACAACTCTAGGAATGTTTTTGATTTTGTGTGATATAGGACCCTTAAATTATGTCTAACAACACCGATTTCTGAGGGGAAATTGTTAGTCAGTGAATTAAAATATTATGTTTTTTTGTTTTTTAAAATATAGCATACTTCAGTAAAGGAAGTAGTAGAAGTGGTTGATAGCTCTGACTCTAGCCTTGCCACCTTGACCCAACATTCTCGTCATTTAGAGACTTCTTCCAAAAGTTCCTGAGTAAATGGCTTGAGTAAAAGTATGTGGTGACTTTCCTTGTGTCTGTACATGAGAATGAGTGTTGAGCATGTGCCCTGCAGTGTATAAGTATTCTGAGCTAACCCTTTGATGAGCAGGACATGGTCTTTGAAGTGTATGTACTCTATAGAGCGCAGTATTCATGTTGAAATTAGCTAGCTGAAAACATAGAGCCGAGGCCGCAGCATGCCCACACACACGCACTTCAAAGGCCCGCTGAACAAGGTCTTCCTAGGTCTTCCAGGATGGACCATAGCTGGAGGCACTACCCTTCTTGCCTCAGCGTCTGCCCTCAAGCTGCAGTTCTATTTTCACTTTAGCACAACTGTGACATCATCCTGACCTGACCAACAGTTTACACACTCACAGGGCTTTAAATAGTTGGTCGCTGGATTTGCCCGACTGCACTGATCTGAGGTGGAATGTGGGTTTTGAGAAGAGAGACCCCCCTTCACGTGGTTGCCCTCCCCACTGTAAACATGAGGACAATGTGAGTGTGTGAGCGAGTGTGTCTCCCAGTGCTCGGGTGGAGTGGTTGGGGCTTCCCTTTGGCTAGGCTAATGTTAAGGCCTCTTATCTTCACTGTTTGGCCCCTGGTATCTCCAAGGATTAATCTGTGCCCTTCAGCTGCCAAACACAAGTGTAATATGAATTTCCTTTCCAACACATTCTTTAAGAACTATATCCTTCTAGCCTATACCATTTGGCTTCTAAATATGGCTAAATATGCACTCTTTACCTATATGGAGGCATGTGCTAACTGCATTGAACTGTACAAACAATAAAACTCATTATATTATATTGCCCCCTTAAGCCAAGTAAGAAATTAATGGATTTACAACATTAAAAGGAGAATTCAGAAACCTTCAATGACAACATTTTGAGCAACACCTACCAGGATCTAGCGCAAGATCCTGTATTGTATTTAAGCAACTGAAAACGTCTGTCAGATTTTAAAGTAATTGGAAACAAAAAGATTGGATGTACCGATACTGTAGTCATCATTCATTGTAATTTTACAACAATGCATCTAGACAAAATGACAGAGTTGCCAAACAACTTATTTATAGCAACTTTGGACTTCCTATTTTTTTATGCCACAGTTTGACAGTTATGAGTTTACTCCTAATACAAGCCATATTTTCCTGTTCTGGTTCACATTCCTACACCCAGTGATACTGAAATACAGCATTTTTAAATGTGTTGTAAATTATGTTTTATAGGAGATTAAAATATCTGCATCTCATTATCACTGGTTCAACCATCATCCATTTTGTTTTCGTTTCAGGGTTTATCTTTGTGAGGCCTGGGTCGCTTGTTTCAGGACTTTTTCCCCCCAAAGGCTTAGTAGCTTTTTGTCTCTGAAGATCTGACAACCCTGTAGGAGAGCCTTAGAAGCATTTAAAATATATACCTTAACCTTACATTTGAACAATCTGTGGAGCCAAAGCTGCCATTACTAAGCAGCAGGTTGTTTTGACTGATGAATAATCCAGTGTGACATAGGGGTTCCCTTCTTTGCATCTTTGGTGTTTCGACTTATGGACTTACTTTATACATTATCTTTGGAGTGCCACTAGAGAGTTTTCAGTCAATCTAAAGTTAATCAATTAGGTTTCACGCTCTAGACACAATGGGGGGAATATACAGAAGCGGTTATTATCAGGCAAAGTTTGTGTGACAGAATAGGGCGATCAGCAGATTGGGGCAAAGGCACACGGCTGAATGGTTGATTGTCATGCTGTCAGGTCTGAAAAGGGCAGGGCAGGTATTGTGATGCGAATGTCCTCACACAGATTGAGAGAGTGGGGGTAGTGTGTATAATGTAATCTATAAGGTGTGTTTGGCCATAAAGCACAGCTGACATCTCACATCTGGTTGGGGATGAAGGATGCTACACCACAAAATTCACAATAAAACCATTATAGGCTTGAGAATGAATGATGGATGAAAGGTTTACACTACCACTACTACTACTATAGTACATATAATATAAGATACAACATTCTAGCTTGAGGTTTTATCATTTGTTTACAGATTTAGGTGGAGATTTTTAGTTCTCTCTTGGGAAATCAAATCTTTAATATTCTGCCTCAAAGACGAACACACTAACCACTTCACTAATTAAGATATGTTGTAAATCACTGGGTAATGGATTACAACTAATCAACATCTGGTAAGTAATATACGTATATGTAAACACTAATATTTTATGTCAGATTCTGTTAGTTTACATTGAATTCTGATTGGCTTTGGTATATAAATATGAACTGAATAAAATGCAATGCAGAATTCCAGAAAGCTGTATAATAATCTCAAATGAAGGGCAGGGGCCTATATAACATTATGACTTCTTGGATTCACAAAATTGACTTTAAAAGTTAATCTCAGTTCTCAGTTAATTGTTGAACTTTATGCCAGTTTTTGTTTCATGTGGATAGGCTCAGTAATTAGAGAGATATTTATTATAAACCAGGTCAAAATATCTATATTTTCACAGCAAAAAATGTGAATTCTGAATAACTCAGAGCAACCCATCATCTGAGAAAACATGGTCAGATTTAAATGTTAAACTGACTGTACGAAAATACGGTTTTAAATATAATCATATACATGCTCTTATGAGTGTAAGGGTGTACTCAAGAGTATTTTACCTGTATAATATACTAAACATGGTAACACCACCAGCAGCTCCGTCGCCAGAACAGCAAGCACAAGGTATGTTTTCAGATCCTGTGGTATTTTTGAAACCAAAATCCACAGCAGCATGGCATTGCCTTCAAAGAACGCAAAATATCACATCAATAGAATCAAATGTCATTTAGTCATCGAGTTGCTACCCTCTTGTGGTAAAAAGACAGTCTTACCCCCAGAGTGAAAAACCAGAGGCAGGTGGATTACTTCTTGGATGCGTCTGTAGAATTTTAGGTAGCCCCTGGTTCTGGCCTGCCGGTGGTGGTACTTGGCGCAGATTGTAAACAGCAGAACAAATACCCATAGAAAAACTTTACCAAACACTATGGCACCCTCTCCTCCAACAGACTGCAAGATGCTGTTACACTGTTCTACATCGTCTTCTTTTAGAATGCACATAATGGCCACCAAAACTGATAAAGTGACATACACCACCTGAAAAATATGGGTATAAGCAACAAAATAAAGTTAATAATGATTATAAAAAGCACAATATGGAAGTGTTCTTGAAGCTTTGTTCTAGGCCTAAAAATTATACTAATGTTTTTACTAGTGGAAACAAGTATTGCACTAAACTTAACTGACTACAACATGTTTTCCTTTTCTCAAAAGCTATCATTCCTTTTTTGACCAATAGAGGTAATAAGAAACATTTATACATTATAATGTATTACTTCAAATTATTATTCATCAATCGCCACCATAGGGTAAGAACCCTGTGGGAAACATTATCAAAGGATGGAAGAAAAGTGCTACTGCTACACTATAAATTAAGGGAATAAATAAGGCAATTTGTTGTGTTAAATGGCAAAAAGATGTCTTTAATATGTTCATGAAATCAATACCGAAGGAAGAAAAGAAATTGAAAAAAATAAAATTGAATCTAGATCAATATGAATATTACACAGCATTATATTATAAACAAGACCATAATAACGTACATGCAGCACAGAGAGCAGAGCAGCATGGCAGGGTGTGGGTAGCGTCTGAAACTCTCTCCTGATAGCAGAGTGCAGGGCATCAGCTGAGATCAGAGGACCGTCCACCATGGAGTCCTCATCCATGCTTCGAGTGAAGTCCACTTCAGGAGCACTCTGAGAGGAACAGAAGGTTGGATTGCATAATCAGGACAAATTGTTAGATAGTACCCCTGGATCACAATTTTAATAATATGACAAAATACAAACAAACATGTAGTTCTCTTTTTTGGATTAAAATAGTACGTAAAGGGGAAGCTTTAATATAACTGACAGTATTGTCTGAATGTAATGCGAAACATGAGATCGTAATGAGCGCACCGCAGCTTTTTAAAGTCAGAACATCAGAATTAAGAGTAGACTAGACACAGGTACAGGTACTAAAAGTGAAAGTAAAAGCAAAAAGACACTTTAATGTTGAAAACCCAGCCTACTACTCTTGTATCCATAGGAAATAATTATATTCAGATAAAGCGCCATAAATGTGAGATTTCTTACACATTAGTTTACTGTGTTATGGAAAAGGCATGCTAACCTCGTGAGCCAATCAGCTCGAGCAATTTCTGTTCAAAAGAACACGCGAATAAATGCACAGTCAGTGTGAGAGACGAATAAACAATATATACATACGAGATGTCGTGATGGCTGTCGTGGGTCCATTGCAACTCATAAGGGAAAAAAATTGGTCAATTTGTATTGCAAAATATAAACATGTTCACATCCTGTCATGTGACTGTAAACTTCCGGTATTTGTGTGACGTCTAAAGCGTCCTCGAGTTAATTGACTTTGGTTCCTAAAACAATAGTTCCGGCCTGTCGGTTTTCATGTTTTGTCTGTTTTCATTTTTTATATACATTCTGGGACAATCCTCTCTATACTACATGGTACTGTAGGTTTTTTCAGCAACAATTTTGAGGTACTTAGCATATCTTGACACTGCGTACGGTTGGTCCGCTTAAATAGTCCAATCTGTGAAACAACCACTAGAGGGCAGTAGAATACTAATAATCATAAATACAATATCATAGGTGTACAGTCAAGAGTAGTTTAATTTACCATTAGCACTATATCACAAGCATAACACTGCATAAGCTACATAATATCACACAATGAGAAACTCACTACAAAAATCACTTAAAATGTTTTATTGATAAACATACACTTGCTATAAAAGACAATTCTGCACCTCTTCCAGTCATGATTTGATATTGTGTGTCCAGTTATGGTGAGCATTGACAAAAGAGCAGCAAGTACTGTCATTGGTTTAAGCCTTCTGATGAACAAGGTGAGTGTAGACGGAGAAATGCTGGTATGGAGCTTCAAGTCACTGCATACATACTTTCTACATGCATGACTCCAACACACATGCACTTCGGTCTCTCACAATGTGCCATGACCCAGAGGTCTGTGTGAGTAGCCCTCTAATTCTTTACATAAGGCACTGATTCGAACAAGAATTCACAATATGTTTAAAACATCTTAAAAAGAAAGAAAATAACCCTAAAAACACAAATTATTAATTACATGCATTCCAGTCAAAGCAATGTCCAAGAACCAGTGTCATAATGGATTGGAAAACAACAGTGTGTATTTATATTAGAAAATATTGATAAAAGATATTTTGTTAAGACACATACAACACTCTCAATGTTCCATCTGTGAATAAAATAACTTAAATATAGCTTTAGGTTCATGCAAATCCATAAACAGAAAATGAGAAGGGCTAAGGCATTCAAATGGACAAGCTACTCCAATTTAGTTATTTTCATTATTATAGTTGTGCAAAGGGTTAAAGAGAGCCATTAAATCCATGCTACAAATATTTATAAATAGCTGGAATTTTGGAATAGTGTTTTTGTCCATTTGTAGATTCCAGTAAAGCTGGTTGTGCTGTTTGTTTGGGAAAAGTGATTCCATAAGATTCCAGAAATGTTTAAAATATTCAGAATGTGATTTAGGAATCCAGTAAGTTGTTTATGTTGAAAAGCTGGTGGGCATTTTCAGGACATCATCATAGAGTTGTGGGCTGACCTCTCCCTAGACAAAACAAAAATGTCAGCAATTGTCACAGTTCTCCACACATATTGATTTTTTTTTTTTTCTAAATCATATCTAAATCATATAATTACTAAGATTGTGCAATATTGCAATTCACAAGCATGAACCAAGTTTTAAGAAAATATTAAAGAAATATATTGGATATTGTACATCATTTTATTTAGTCACTAGTTATTCATTGTAATTTATTGGATATATTATAGTTAATGTTTTTGATGTAGTATACTATGGAACAGGACTGTATGAACTTATGTGTGAACTTTTTTGTTATTATAATGGAACATTTTATTGTAAATTATGCCAACTTGGACCGAAGGAGGAATAGTCTTTATCCCACTAAAGACTAATGGGGAACCAATAAATAAATAAATAGAAATAAATAAATAGAAATGTTGCAATGCGATACTACAACTGCTACTGCTATTACTACTACTACTATTATTACTCCAACTTCGCATATGTTCTTGACCAAGTTCTCACCTCGAGACGCAATGTAGCACTCATGACAACTGAGCTGTCCATTACGGATCCTAACATCAGTGCCTGCAGTGGCGTCACCCAGCTGGCCATCACAAACCCCACACTGAAAACAGACCATTTACAAGTTACTGTGACTATACATACAGTATATATATATATATTTATATTTATATTTATGTATTTATACAAATATATATTATATTGTGATCTGATTAGGGATATATACTAGAAATGGCAAACATAATTCAAATTGTCTGGTTGTCTGTGTGTGTATTGCATACCTTGAAGCACTGCATATGGAAAAAGAGTCCCAGAGTATCAATGATCATGGCCGCTCCCTTTCCCAGAGGCTGAGAACAACCAGAACATAGTCTTTTCCCACTCACACATCTAAACAAACAGCAAACAGACAAGCAGTTAATGTACATACAATACTTTATGTAAAAACAGTACTGCAGTTGTTAGCTGTAAGCCCAAGTACCTGCTTGGAGATGGGGGATGGGGTGATGGATGAGACTGCTGACGTCCCACTGCTGTGTCATGTGATCCAGACCTATCAATACCATCAGAGCACATCAGCAGTTTGTAAATAAAGACCGAATAAGACAAACGTATGCTGATAAAGGGACATGGCTGTACCTCTTAACATTCTGTGGCTGTTTGGGCTGAGGGCTGTGGTCAAGAGACTCAGTCTTCAGTAGCTCCTGTTTTCTGGAGGCTTCTACTTCACATGTGGAGTCTATAGAAACACATGATACTGGTTAAAGACTGTATATGATGAGTTAGACAAATTAGACAATATGATATTTAAGATTTCACTAACAATCTTTGCAGTTTGTAATTTTCCTTCTTGATTGGAGAAGGGCAATACTTGTGAAATATGTAGAGGTAACTTTACGACAGCTAACATTAAATACATTTTTTAAAAAGGACCAAAACTCACCTAATTTCCACAAAAATATTAATTTGCCAAATAGAAATGTATGATACACCTTTATTTTGTTCCACGTAAACTGTTCCTGTATTTTGAATGGAATCTTGTGTATTGATGACATAGAAGAAGAACTTACAATACAATACAGAGCAATACTTCCTGTAACTTTCAATATCACAAAATTCCACTTGATGGATGTAATAAAAATTTACCATGGGTATTATTTCTCCAAATTCAGAAATAATCATATAAACTACATGCTCTTAGAATAAAACTGAAGGATAACTTGCTTGCAGCCTACCTTGGAAAAAGTGCAGTTTAGAAGCATGCTGCCCCTCGTTTCCTAATGGCACCTTATGGCCATTGTGTTGTAGAGGGATAATGCTGCTAGGTGCCTTGGTTACTTCAGTTGGTGAGGTTATATTAGTTTGTGTATCAGGCTGGCTCAGAATGCCTGTGGGGTTGAGCGGAGCAACAGTTTCTTCTAGAATGCGTCTCTCCTGCAAAAAGGATAGACAGCACAAGGTTGTTGCATACTATAATACATTACATTAAAAGAACCTGAACATTGAATTGATATTTTGATAAATAATCCTAAAAACAACTCTACGCAAAAGTTAGGCACAATTTACACAGATTTTTCTGATACTTTAAACTTTCTTATATTTTTATTTGTCAAATAATATTTTTTGCCCACTGAAATGCCACTGAAATTCCCTAACAAAAGTTAAATATTTAGCTGCCTTCTCTTAAATATAATGTTCTTAAATGTGTTTCAGTAGTCTAACCCTGTCATAGGCACTTAAAAACTCAGTAGAAGACTCTGCAAGCAGTACCAAATGATAACACTCCTCAAGATCGGAAATAGAATGTACAACTACCTCTTCATTGTGTTTCCTTTCTTCCTCCTCCACTTCTAACTGCGCTCTCTCCCACTCCTTCTTCAGCTTCTCCTGCTCCTTCTCATACTGCTCCTGGAGACACATAGCATCAATATTAAACACTGCATTTAGAAACGCCCAGTCAAAATCACCAACACACACAGCCATAACCAGCGCGTGTTACAGTCATGGATCCATGCATGTGCACACTATCCTCTTTGTACCTGTAGGAGGCGCTCTTGCTCCTGCTGCCACCTCTCCAGCCGTTTGCGCTCCTCATTGGGGTCCCATACCCAGTGATTTACACGTTTAGCCAAGTTCAACATGGGGGTCTCAGTCTACCCACACACCCATTGCAATGATAACACACACGCACAAGTGGACAGAGTAAAAAGGACAGAAAGAGAGGAGAGGTGAGAGGACAAGTTTGACTACAGTACAACTGGAGGAAGACAAGGGTAAGGACAGGGTCAAATTTAAGAATGAAAGAGGACACGAAAAACAAGCGAGCACAAAGCAGGGATACGTACGGTTAAGTTGCCGTCCTCTACAGCCTCTGTGGGGAAAAAAGACAAAAGTTCATGAATAAATAAACTAAATATGGCTCAGAGATATAAATAGTAGCACTAGCAACCAGAAAAGATGTGTTCTAGACTTTACCTGTCGTAGTTGGGGAGAAGTCCTGCATGCTGTTAGTTAATGGAGATAATGGACTCCTCTGTTCCTCCACTGGCTCCTGAGTGAAGGTGGATGTGCCATTTACCTACAAAGACAATTATTATTAGAATAGGTTCATTATTTGTTTGTTTAATCATATTTATTTATTTGCATACACAGATGCATCCACACAATCCATACAAAAGTATGAATAAATAAAAAATGAAAAATAGAGACAGACCAATATACCAGGCCAATATTGGACTTTTTCAGCTATTGGCTTTTAATGTCCAACACAAGCTGATATTTACAGCCTAAAAACACCCATAAAGCTTTATGTGAACACTTCAGTGCAAATACGTAACTGTGGATAATTACTACACAGCTCTCTTATGGGTCTGTGGTGAAAAAAGGACTGGGTGAATTTTCAGCAAATTTAAATGACATTATCTGGGCCAAAAATATCAGTAAAAAAACATATTGGTTAATCTTTCATCTGAAACATGTAAGTAAAAATATCTACTATGTATAATTATTTTGTTTGTACTCCACTGCCATCCTAGAGGAATATGAATTTTATTATTTTTATATTGACCTAGCAAATGGAAATAGTTTGTCAAATGTGTTTAATACTGTAAAATAAAGTGTATGGATTTCATTTAGTATAGTGTATTGAACCAGTGTGTTATTTATTGCTCGAACACTTATGGGCTTGATCCATTTCAGCTGGCAAAGTTCTAATAGTGTTTTGCCAAGTTTTAATGTCACTGTAACACGCTGTATTAAATTTACTACTTACAAACCTCTATGATGATTTTAATGTAGCTAGACAGAATGATCAAAGCCACCCACTATTTCACCCACTCTCAGATTACATAACGCGCAGTTGGGTTTTGAGTCTTTTATGTTCAAAACAAATAAGTTCAAATGAAATCAGATCTACTTTTCAAAAAATATATAATTATAATAAATCACCAATTTTTCTTCAGTATAGGGCTTATGTTAGGAGTTAAGAAGTTTAACACTATTAACACTATTGTCACCGGTCACTAGTTGTTCAAAAATGCAAAAATGTAATCAAGTTCATCAAGTAATCAAGTAATGTAATCAAGTTAATCAAAATAATCAAAAATGTAATCAAGTTCAACTTATTGACCTTACTCATTGGAAGAATGCATGTTTTTTCCAGATATTTCTTAACAATAAAACTGCTGTAATGCCAGTTAGAGAGGTTTAATTTAACTGCTGAATTCAAAGCCAAAACATCTCCATGGAGACAAGCAGGTGACATACGTTCCCCAGAAAAGTTACATAATGCCCATTTTATGCTATTTTGTAATGCACGTTATGACACTGTTACCTCCTAAAAACATACTTAGAGTTATTTTGTTTCATTCACACATGTTTAACACACAAACCCTGACTATTTAGTTCGTAAACATAAAAAAACACTCTGTTCCACCTTGTGGCATCATGTTGCGATACAGGAAGTGTGCTCTTAACTCCTTCACTCCTTTTTAACCAACTTCACTAGAAACATTTGGATGATTTCAGCCTTGGAATGGCCACTCTACTGAACAAAAGGTAAAGGTAGCTGTTAACTAAAACTACTACTTCATGACATCACAAGGTGGTACAGAGCATTTCAGGCTTTGAAGATGTAGACAGATTAATAATAAAGGGTTACTCAGACCTGGGTGAATGAAACAATGCACAACTCCAGGTAAGTTTTAAATGAGGTAGCAACATTATAACACGGCTTAAAGCTCACAAGAGTCAATTCAGTAGAATATAGAACCTTTAACCCTGCTTACTGTCCAGTTTTATAATACTTATTGGCCAAAATAACAACAATAACAACAAAATATACCTGTCCATTGGTGTGCCTCTCTGGTGTGACTGGCTCCACGTGTGTGAGCTCTGTGACGATGGTGGTGGTGATGATACAGTTCCTGCCCCCGATCAGAGAGCTGATGGCAGAGCTGGTGGCAGACTGGGGCCTCTCGGTCTGAGGAGGAGAATGGGACGGGGGCTGCACTGTCCTCTCTACGCTCACTGTCTGTTCACATGGGGCCTCTTTGTCAGGCTTCATGGGTGAGACAGGGGTGGGAGGTGAGGCGGGCGTGGCAGGTTTGGCTCCCTCTGGTGACCGCATGGGGGAGAGCGGCGGAGTGCGAATGGAAGAAGTTTCAGCAGCTTCTCCGTTCACTCTCACCAGCCCATCCATCTTAGGAAGACATGAAATATAGATTATAAAGAATTCAGGCATCTTATTTTATTCATAGCAAAGACAAGCTCAGAGGTTATTTGATGAGAATTTCAGATCCTTTTCCACTAAGATTAATTGAAAACCCTAAATAAATAATAGCCTACTCAAACTTACTTCAGAGGACCTCTCTGTCTCCCTTTTTCTTCATTATTCTTATAATAATTGAACTTATATCACATTGGTGTTGTCACTGCACAAAATACCAGTTAACTGTTGAGGGAAAAACATTAAGCTGTGATGTAGTATATGGCATTATCTGAGAAGGAAGAAAGTTTGTGATTACTGAAAACCTACAACTATGGTTTTCATTTTTTAATCATTTGAATTTCCCTTTATATAATTATTGAACTTATAAAATAGTGTTTCTGTAGTGATGGTAGTTAATTGTTGATGAAAAAAGCTTTAAAATGTAGCATAACATCTGTGAAAGACTATAGCACAAGGAATTGGCACAAGTAGCTCCAACACCAGGTGGCAATATTGGTCACATTTGTAGGAGGCATTTCATAATAAAGTGACAAAAAGTCCATTTGTGTCTGCATTTACTTTCTTTTTAGGAACACATTATAGCAATTCTCTCCGTCAACAATTGCAAAATATAAGACTAAGAAAGATTATGAATGCTTGTGCGTAAACAAACCTTGAATGACTTGTTTCCGGCCTGTGAGCTCCATGGTTTGGCTGCCAGCAGGGGCACAGGTCTGGAGGGGGGAGGAGGCACGGGGGTGGTTGGGAGCGTTTGGGTCCGCTGTAGAGGTGAAGGGGCTGAAGGGATTTTGGCCTGAGACTGTACCACCGGTGCCCGCTGTGGCTGTACGGTGCTTTGACTCTCTGCTGGTTTACTCACAGGTTTTTCTGGTAACAACGGTAACGCGCGTTCTGGAGACTTTACGGGGCTGGTAGGTGGAGTAGGGATGGAGGAGAGACAGACTATATCTTCCTGTTTTTTAGTTAATTCCACATGTTCCGTATTGTGCTTGTTGTCTGTTTTGATGACCATTTTGTGCTGTTCTGAAACTTTTAAGTCTTCGTCTTTTACAGGTGTCGAAGGCTTGAGGTCCTTGTCCGTTTGCTCGTGGTCTGGATCGGTAGCTGCGACGACAGGTCTGGGCACTTTCAGACTGTCCAGAGTGGCATCGCTGATAGTAAAACGAAGAGCATATCTCTGTAGAACCATGGCGGCTTCTTCTGGGGTTGCAGCGTTCCTGTAGGCTTCACATAGCTCCGCCTCTCTGCGTTCCCTTTAAAATAAATTAAATAAATTATGAATGATGCATCTTATGTACTGACAATGCTGAACTAGTAATCTTGCATCTGCATGTACTGATACTTGATTGAGAATTATACGCTGCAAAATCCCACTCATTTTTTTGTTCTTCAGTGAGCCATTTTAAAGCTTCAAGTTAAAATTCTGACCCTAAATTTAAATCAGAATCATATGAGTTGGCATGAGCATGTGACGAGTGTGTGTGCCAAGATACACCAGCGTCTGTACTTTCTTGAGAGATTAAGAGGGTTTAGAGTCAAACAAAGCCAAAATATTATGCTTCTATACAGCTAGTATAGAATCTAGTACTAAGGTACGGAATAGTCCTCTGCTTTGGAAACCTGTCAAATATAAATCGCAGCTCCTTGGACTTAAAACTGGCTGTAATATCATGGGTGTGTCCACTCTGAACAGTCATGGATCCCTTTCATGTGCTCAGAAAACAGTATGAGCTCTTGCAGTCTGGGAGGAGATACAGGCTTCATTCAAGAATACAGACTAAAAGTGAAAATTCTTGTGTATTTATTTTCTAGTTTACTCTAGTTCCTCTAAGACCAAGCATCTTTATTAGTTATATTATCCTTATGTTTTCCAATATTTAGTATTAGTTATTAGTATTTTGGTGTTAGTTTGTATGTATTTTAAGTATAAGCAATTTTGAACAGTACTGTAGTCTTTTTAAGAGAACTCCTTACTTCTCCTCAATGATCTCTTTGTAAGTTTTGATGCTTTTCCTTCTGTCGCTCTCCTCCTTCATCTTCTTCTCAATCATCTTCCTTTCCTCCTCCTTCTTGATCAGATCCTGAGACGCACTTCGTCTGCGGTTCTTCCACCGAGCCAGGTCCTGTCACATTAACACTGTTAGCATATTGGTGAACCATCCAGTTCAACATTCTTCAGTGTATTCGATTTCTTACATCTTGCCACTGGTTCTCGTCCTCTTTGAAGCTGCTGTACTGCTCCTGCATGCGCTCGTATCGGGATGGGCTGATGTGAGGCAAGTGTCCCACCTCGTCCTCATTTAGGATGTCACCCATACTCGCACTCCTAGAGACAACAAAGAACAACAAACATAAGCAAGCACATCAAGTATGGGCATTTTAATCTATTTTAGCTCAGTATCATAAGAAAAGCAATAGAAAAAGAAGCATTGCAAAGAAAGAGAAGCAAGGAATGTTAGTTATAGTCAATCAAAATTGTCATTTCCCAAACTTTGGATATTATAAAAGATTTGAAATTCATTCATACATTAGGTATTATTTTGCTTATTCATTATGTTATTTCTGTCATTATCTGTTTAATCAAATATTGAACCCACACAATTGATCTGAACTCAAACAGGTGTTTGGGAAATGCCAAATTGTCATTTTGAACAAATAGAATATTGTGCAATTTAAATTAGCAAAGGGTTAGTTTAGGTATTTAACAACAACTATAGTATTGCTTCAACCTAAACTAGTATTAGTAGTAGTAGTAGTATATTTTTCAGTCAAAACCATAAACTTAAAGTGCATTGTGTAACTATTCTGGTGGAGGGCCACACTTTTTTTTTTTCTTTAGGGAGATGTTATTGCTTTGCTTAGTATGTTCTACAGTATGGCAATGAAAGTGTAATTAGCCTTTGATGATTTTATTGTTCAGAAATATCATTGCACATGCATTCTTGAATGAGTGGGCCTGCATCTCCACCAAACTGATCTGTACCCTCTCCTTCTTGCCTCCATGGAGATATACAAGTTTAATGCCTTACTGTGAAACATTCCAGGCTGAACAGTTGTAGATGTAGATGTGCATGTAGAACAGTACATGTACATGGAGACCAGGATGTGGTGTACCCTCTCCAAGAAAAGTAACACGGTGCACCTTTAAAACTGTACCAAATCCTTACTAATCCTTTGCAGTAACGTCAAATGAAAAGCTTGTAAGCAAGTGTTATTAAGATGCACTGGAATGGAAGAAAAGTGGCAATTTAAAACAGAGCAAAGAAGGAAAATAAGGTTATTTCATGCAATTATTATCTCCCAGTCCAACTTACTCTGTGTCCTCAGATATAAAAGCAACTCGTCGACTCGTCCTAAAACAACAACAGTACAGTGTGAATGAACGGAAACCACCTGCACTAGCGACACTTGGTATCGACACTTCTCAAGGGAATTAAAAAGCAACACTGTAAGATGTAAACAATAGTGAAATAAACGTCCACATGTGTAATCAATTGCTTGGGTAACACAGCCATGCGTAAAATAGTTCATCATAAGCATCTCACATCATTGGAGGTAGTTGATCATCCTCCAGCCAGAAGGGTCTCTTTGGTGCTTGCGAACCCACCTCCTGCACCCTCTCCTCAGCCTTGATTTTGCCCTGGCCTGCCTCCTCCTTACTGACTTGGAGGGTGGCATGGGTGGGCAGCGGGGAGAGAGCTGGGGTGCTACGTACTGCCTTGTCTAGTGTCACTTTGCTAGCATCCTTCTCCTCTGTCTCCAGCTTATTATCTTGCACCAAAGCACACTTCCTGGTTTGGGACTCAAGGGGTGGGGCCTGAGTTTCTGTGGCGACGATAGCAACGCTGCTGACAAGACAAGGCCCAAGATTATCACAAATGTGAATCCAAACTGCACTATAGAGGCTGTATTTTGTTGTTAAAATCCTTTATAGAAATGACTAGTAACATAGGACTAGATACATTTTACACAAATTACATTTATTTTTCTCACCTATGGCTACACACTTATGGAATATTTCATAGAGTGGATAACTGAAATCACAATTATTTTCTTTTTATTTGAAGCAATCAAGTATTTTTTTCTTTTTATTAGATTATTTTAATTTATTTGAATAATGATTGCAATGATGCTTAAAGGGCCCATATCACACCATTTTCTGATCTATGTTATAATGTTTCCTCATCACAAACAAACCTGGAGTTGTGTTTTGTTTCATTCACACATGTTTAACACACAAACCCTGCATATTTAGGCTGTGTTCTTCTCTCAATTGGAAAACACTTGCAATGTCATGTGGTAATACAAGAAGAGCTTCATTGTGTTTTTAAACTTCATACACTTTCACTAGAATCATTTGGATCATTTCAGCCCCAGAATAGGCAATCTCTATTGAACTAAAGAAAAAAAGGTAGCTGTTATCTTGAAAACTACCACTTCATGACATCACAAGGTGGAATAGGGCATTTTGAGCTTTGAAGATGTAGACAGACTAATAATAAATTGTTACTCAAGCTCATGTGAATGAGATAAAATACCAGATATGTTTTTGAGGAGGTAACAAGATGACAACAAGGCCTAAAGCTTGCAAAAGTCAATTTTGCGTCATATAGGACCTTTAAAATGTGATTTAACTTCTTATCATAATAAATATATATGCAAGGCCTATTTCTTTTCTAATATAGTTTTCAGTGCTTTGAATTGAAAGCACTCAAAACACTGCACATAGTAGATTGAGATAATTTCAAAATGTTTGTCTTTAAGTCAGTTATATTAAACAAATCAGGAAAAATACATGTTTCAGAATTAAAGCTATCTGGACAGCTTTTTTATGATTTTGTGCAAAGGGAAATCACTAAATTCCAAAAGCTGAGTCATTCTGAAGCTCATATGGTGCAGCTGTGATTCACTTAAACAAAAGCAAACATCTCCACTCTTGATCTCGCACAAAACCCAACCCAAGACATGCCAGACCAATCCAAGCTTCAACCTCACAGTCCACAGACTTCAAACCACCACATACGAAATCCAGATCGACACAGTAACCCACGGCAACAAATCCAATCAGACAAGTCCTTTCAAAAACAATTATCCATATGTCAAACCATATAAGGAGTCTGGCTGTGATCACTCAAACATGCTGGTTACATAAACTCACCACTTAATTAGTACTTTTCATAATATCATAACACATCATAGGATTATTCTACACTAGTTTACCAGTGGTTAATTAAAATGCATTCAGACCTTATCATGCTTAGACAAAGTACCTTTCAACTGCAGGTTTTTCATTAATTTGTGGTTGTTTTGGAGCAATGTTATACTTGACCGATCCAGGCACAGGCAAGAATTGATTTGCTTTGCTCGCAATAGGTTTCTGACTTAACCCAGTCCTTCTAGCCATCATGTCATCCTTCTCCGGCTTAGGTAGGCTTTCTCCATCTTCGTCTTCTTGATTTCGGTCATGGTAAGTAGTTGCTTTGACAATTTCAGTTGTGACTGGTTGAAATGGTTCCATGGTTGTTTTGGTTTGTTCCGCTCTAAAAGAAAAACTTAATTGAAGACACTAGAGGATGTCTTTAGGATACAAACCAAGCATGTTAGTAGCTCAGAGGTCATTCCATAATATATTCCCCCACCTTAAGTTTCTGCTCCCGTCTGTTTCCTTTTTGCTCCATGGAAAGTGATCAGTGGTGTCTTGTGCGTTGTGCTTTGTTCCGGGCATAGGCAGGAACCTGTTGTGATAGACTTTAGAGGAGCTACTTTGTTTATGGAAAACACCAGTCCGCCGCGCCATCATGTCATCCTTCTCCAGATCAGGGATTTTTTCCTCTTCATCGTCATCCTCCTCCTCCTCTGTTCTTCTCATATACTGAGCGAGGCGGGCATCTACCTCAGCCGGGGTAGGGGTGACCTCGGAGAAGGTTTGGAGCGTGCTTTGATTGAGGTCTGTGACATCTGCGAGGCTGAGGTATGGAGGCATATGTAAAGTGAGGTTAAACAGCGGACAGCATAGAATGAGAATCTGTGCATGCAAAGCATCAGCAGAACATGCAAACAGCAGGTACAGGGTGGAGATAAGCACTGGGTTATGTAAGAGAGGAAGGCAAACTAAAATACTGCTGAGAAATCACTATAAACAAAAGAGAAAGCATTTCATTACATCATCTATTATAATGCAAAATATTCATACTGGTATCAGGGTTGGTTCCAGGAATGGTTCAGAGATCTAATGTAAAAAGAATACTTAGTAGTCATTGCTCCAAAATGTCTCATTATGTTAAAATATTATTTATACTGCTGTTCAATAGTTGTTGCTAAAAAATAATAAATATAGAATAAATAATAAATATAGAATATTATTAAATTATTAAATAAAAGTTATAAAATATAGAGATCAGTTCTACTAGTTCTACAAGACTCATCACTATATCAAAATTTTAATCACACCACAATGCAACCACCTTCACCAATCAGTTTGTCCCTTTTTTTCTAATACACGTTGTAGTTCGTAGTATTCCTAAAAAGATTACAGATTAGACTGTGGCATCACAATAACAAAAATGTATACTTGTGTGTTTGCTACAGTGCAAATATAAAACAAATGCGTTAAAGGTAACAGAGTCAGCCTAAGCCAGGTAGACTCAAGCACCTCTGTCATCCACCTACAGTTAATGATGATTCTATTGCACTATTACGATGACTGAGGCGACAGTATTTGACTGCCACTCTACCACCGCACATGCATGTGCCTCTCTTCTGACCTGGTTACAATCAGTACGATGCAAAAATCTGTGCTATGATTATTATTTAAATAGGCTCCATGTTATACATTTCCATCACAAGCAGCACAGTTCCCCTCCAGCCACAAAACACCCCAATATTATTCACATGCTTTACAAAATTAATTTTAAAGGTCAGGTTTCATAGCTAAATGTTTTCAGCTTTACCATTTTCATAATGTCCATTCATTCTGTGTAACCCATTTGAGATTTGCCTGAAACCTCACATTTAAGCATTTTCTTTTAAATCAACTCCCACTTATTGACAGAATTCAGACTTCCCTCCCCCAAAAAACAATGGGATGGCATGATGGTGAAATAAACCTCAAAAGTAGTTAGCTAAATTGCTCATGAAACATTGATTGGAGGGGGACTTTTAGATGCAACAAAACAGTGCACTTTTTCTTGCAGCTCTTATTAAAGCAGCTCTGGCCCTATCCATACCTGCGTTCCCGCTCTGAGAGCCGGGAGCCAGGACCTATGGTTGGCATGGTTACTGTTGCTTTGGACAAGAGTCGTCTTAGCAACTCGGTCTCCTCCCCTTCACTTGTGTCTACTGGCTGCTCGATCTCAGTCACAGCCCCAAAGGTCACCACTTTGCCGTGACCCCGCCCGGCCTTTGAAGATCCAGAGAATGAGCTCCTATAATTTTTCTCCAGACAAGCCTGGCACACTGGGCTTTCCTCACTGGAAACAGTCTCACAATGTAACACACCAGTCAGACAGGGTGGAAAGGAAAGAGACAAAGAGGACTGAGTTGGACAAGATGACTGGACAAAAGAGGACAAAGCATGTAGTTATGGACTCATACATTTTCATCCACACTCAGGCGTCAGACACTTCTCTATTCTAAATGCTTAGTAACTCCTTTGAGAGCACAAAACCCTCTTTATCCTATGTCATGACATGAGCACTGAGGGAAACACAAAGGCTGAGCAGTGCCAACAGCCCACAGTAACCTCACATACAGAGTTGAATACAGACAGGCCAGTTCCCTCATCTGTTTCAATGCAGGCTTGAGAAGACTGAGGAAAACAGTAATGACAAAAAGCATAAAGTGGGAATGTAAGATGTAGATAAAAGGAATGATCTGTAAAACTGGAACTGATGTATGTTTTGGAATGTACTGATAATACTTCTACTACTAGCATCAGTGCTTCCCAAATAAAACTGTTATGTCATCCACCAACAAGAGTCCATTTTGCGTTATCCAAATATACTTATTGATTCTTGTATTATCATAAAGTCATAAAAGAAATGTAATCTTACTTAAAAATATGTGAAAGATACAATTATTTACCAGTGTTTCCCTTAAGAGAGGAGACTACAGTGTCCCCCATAGTCATTAGGCCATTTCTACTGCAAAATGGTACTAATTAAAATGAGTCTAAGATTGAGTGATTTAATACAAATAGGTAAGTATTAGTAATTTGTTTGCACATGTACTGCAATCACTTATGTCACAGTCAGGGGTGATTAAAAGATGAAAATACCACACATTCCTGACCTGACATGGTACATATCAGTCAATATACAGTCTATGAGGCGGAATAAGAAAGCTAAGTTTCATAATCCTTAAGCTGGTGTGGTCCACTCAACATGTACATTAAATCCTTTTTCTCACAGCTTTTAGCCATAAGGGTCAAAGTTGACACCATTTGTCACATAAGAATATCACATAGGTTTATGGTAGTATTTAAAGCAGCACTACCTAACTGTTTTAGAGGATTGGCCGGTAACTGCTTGTGGAAGCTGTCGTTGTTTTCACTGGAATATTCCACAGTAATGTGGCCTTAAATATAACTATCCCCAAGGAGACTAACAGGAGCACTACCAGTTAGAAGTCAGATCTGTGGAGAGGTGACCCACTTGTAAAAACGCAAGATATTTATAGTACTGACAACAGTGGTAATACAGTATGTGCCCCTTAAATGCCATACCGTGGAACATTCCAGGCAATGCAATAGCATCTACATAGAGACCAGCATTTAGCAGATCCTCCATCAGAAAAGTTTCATAGTGCAGCTTTAAGATGGAGGAACACACATGATAAGTATAGACACACCACTCATAGGTTTCCACAGCACACACTCTTCCAAAAATACTGTGTAATATAATTATATTTTGTATGATATATGGGGCACCTGGGGTCGGACATCTTGAGCCTCTCCCACTTCTGCATATCGGCTTGACTCATGGGCGCAGAGGCAAAGCTCATTGGTCCGTCCCTGTGTGGGAGAGGCCTACTCTGAGACCGCCTTAATGCCAGGTCGTCCTTCTGTTTATTTGGCACAGTCTTCACTGCTTCCTCCTCTTCATCTTCCTCACTCTCCTCTTGATCAGTGCGAGGGGCTGGCTTTAGAAAAGGGTTTTCTCTGCGGGTAATGATGTCAGGGATCATTTCCTTGTCACTGGCCAATCAGACAGGGGGGTGCAGTGACATCACAGAGCACGCAGTGTGTTAGGGGTGACCACAACAAAGGAGCAAAGAAGATAGGAAGGTAATCGGAGACATAGGGAAAGAGGAAAGACTTTTAGGTGTGTGTTAAAAGTGTAGAACTGAACTATATTAGAGAAAAAAAGATCATGCTGTAATACAACGTGTGGTGGGTAGTAAAGAGTTACTTTACTTGAGTAATATTACTTTAAAGTATTGTTACAAAAGTGAAAATAAATTGATCTTTCTTGCATTTTTCCTTGCATTATGATTTACGTTTTATAATTTTTATGATATATTCTCAAGGAACAGGTTAAAATTTAAACATCATAGTATTTTTCATTTGTTATAATGTTGTTGCCTCATCAAAAATGTTCCTGGAATTGTGTTTTGTTTCATTCACACAAGTTTAATAAACAAACCCTGCATATTTAGACAGAGTTCTTCTCTCAAGTCAAAAAACTCTGTTCTACCCTGTGATGTCATATGGTAATACAAGAAATAAGAACAGAGACTTTTGAGCTTTGGAGATGTAGACAGACTAATAATAAAGGGATACTCAAACAAAACACAACACAACTCCGGGTATGTTTCTGATGAGGTAACAATATATCATAAATTGGTCTAACGCTCACAGGAATAAATCTTGTGGACCTTAAAATCAGAAATCAGATTCAAAAAGTTACTTAAGTAGTAATATATCTGCATAAATTTTACCCCTGATTCAATTTAAATATTTTGTGATCACATGTACGGTAGCTTAGCAGGGACATGCCATGAATAGTATGCTATGACATGTTTAAATATTTAGTATAGTAACAGTATAAAGAATTACCCAGGAACTTGCTCAAATATTTATATGCACTTATTGGATTGTGCCCACTTGTATTCAGTTGCATGAGGGTGGCATTGCATCGCACGTCTACTGATCTGGTCACTTGAATATAAGAGCTGATTGGCCAATATTTTCACATATATTTTAACTACATAAAGTAAGTCACTGAAAATGTTAATTATATATGTTTTACTATTTCAGTCATTTTGAATGGATCAAGCAATAGAAAAGGGAAAAAAGGACAGGAAAACCAAATTGAAAGAAGCTGCATGCAGAACTCTAACCTGTTCTCCCTCTCTTGCAGAGTCTGCTGTGATGCACGCCGGATGCCCTCCCAGCGCTCCAGGTCCTTGTTACTACAGACAGGAGGAGGGACAAACTGCTGGACTTTAGGGGCAGGGCCACGTGCAGCCCTCCTCGAAGCCAAATCGTCCTTACGCACATCGGGCATCTTCTGCGTCTCCACCTCCTCATTGTCCGAAGAGGAGTCCCAGGCTGCCTTCTGGGTCCTCAAGAACTCATTGTCCCTGCGCAGGATGATGTTAGGGGATGGAGACCTCACTTCCGGTTCCTCTTTCGCAGCTGGGCTGGGGTCAGAGGTGACTGGTTGGATTGTGGTGTTTGAGCGTTTGTACGGCGGTAGAGAGGGTGACGTGCACAGAGCAGGCTTGGCTCTCGTAAATAAGGATTATTAGGGGATTAGTGTGCATTCCAGTGTTCATCTGTGAGTCTTCAATCGGGATTATTTTACACAGCAGTCCCAACACGGTCAAAATTTACAAACAACATCACAAGCAAAGCAGAGTGGTTATTTCACTAAACAAGGTTGTTAATAAGAATGGGTTGCCTGAGCAGAAATTAAGATAATTATGTTTTCATCAAATAGTTTAGAATTATACGCTCTATCTTTTAGCAAAATTTATTTATTTTATCTTTATACGAGAAAAAAACGCATATTCAAGGCAATAATTCTAAAGGGAGGAAATGTATAATGTACAATAAAAATAGGACAATTCAACAGTGAGGTTTGTAGGAAACTTCCATAATAACAACTGCCCTGGGACCAGAGATGTGTAAGCCAATCTGCGCCAATCACTCACACACCACTTTCATGCTTCAAACTCAGTGAAGCGTGTTGCTCAAGGACATAAAAATAATACGCACTGGCCAGATTCAGAATAGAAGCTCCAACCTGTCCATTATAAGGCAACCATCAATCATACCATCCATCATCAATAACAGCCATACAATGTCATCTTCATCGAAGCAATGCCACAAGTTAATGCAATTAGACATGAGTTTAGATCAGATTTTATACTTATATCTTCAATTTATCAACCAAAACTTCCACAAGCAAAAATATCAAGAATCGTAATCAAAAGCAGCAAAGCGCAACACATATTCAAACAACCTTCCACAGCATCAGCATTTTAGTTTCAACCCACAGCTCAGTACCATGCCAGTCCTGTCTAACCTGTTATATCGTACAGCAGCGGGTAACACTTTAATGCCTGCTTTTTGCAATTTCTGTATCTTCTTCTGCTCCATCGCCTCCTGCGTCTCTGCTTCATCATCCTCCAAAATGGGCTTCTCTCTTTGGTTAAAACTGTTATCTGGCGCCCACGTGACACACTTGGGGTTTCTGAAGTGACCTCCGGGTTTTTTCTCTTGCTCTAGATTAGTTTGACTGGGAAAAGTTGTGGCAAACATATCAGGGTAGCATTACAATTTCTTACCGTTTCAATGTTTATGTTGTTGGTTATAATTAAAACTGGACTAGATAATCGGTTGGGTTCAGGTGACATCAAAACACGCAAAACTGCTCATATAAGTAGAAATGAGCTGGAGGGCAGGTCTGAATACTTTGGTAGAAATTGCGGTCAAATGTATATGTTTCAACGTAAAAATATCTCTGTAATTACTGTGTCAGTCCACATCATGAAACAGGCTTGTCAGTTGACAGAACTTAAAGCCATGAAATAAATGTGACAAGTTTATGGAATCCGTAAAATGTTGAAATATATATATCGTAATACTAAATTTGGTCATACAAGCTGTTGTATCAATTTATTTTTATTTTTTTATTGTATCAGTCATACAATTTTGTTGCTTATTTAGAGAAAGGAAAATTGTTTATGCAATTCATTTGACATATTCACTGTTTTGATTATCATGGTGGTGGTTTAACAATGAAGTGAACTGTGTTTGGTTCTTTAAAAATAATGAAATACAGTATAATGGGGAAAAAAAAACAATTATGCCATGTTTCAAAAAAGTGAATAGGCCCCTGCCCTCCATCTGAAATATTAAAAATGTCATGAACACAACCCATACACTTAACCTTGTGATGTTTTACCTGCGTTGCTCGCCCTCCTCTGTGTGATGCTTTCTCCTGGGTCCTGGGACATAGGTGGTGGCGTTAGCGCGGTTTGGGAGGAATTGGTTGAATGGGACGGAGCTCCGGGCCTCACTGCTGGCGGTGCGGCGAGCTAGCATGTCGTCTTTCCGCACGTCAGGTCTCTTGCCTGCAGCGTCCGCCTCAGAGTCGCCTGGGAGAAGAGAAAACAGGTAAGAAAACATGTCAAAGTTTAGAGGTGTTGTAATTGGTCTGGGGTAACTACGCCTGTCAGGTCGTTATTTATAATTACTGCTGTGGAGAAAGGATAGCCTCAAGCGTTTAACCTCTTCTGACAAAAACATGTTTACAGAAAGGCCAGACAGGAGGATTAAAAAGATAGTATTCTGGAGTAAGAAATGCATAGAAAACTGTACAGTACTATAAAAAAAGCATTGGTTGAGAATAGGAATGATAAAACTGCACCAAACAATCCAAAAGCATTCTCAAATTAAAAAGTGTGGTCATTTAATTGATCTCTATGATACGTCAACAGCTTGGTAAAAGAATGTTACAAAATTTTACATTTGTCAAACATTTGTTGAAACCACATTATATGTCAGTCAGGTAATTACAAACTAATAAATTAAACCTTGTACAGTATTTTCCTCAGTAATTTATCTGTGGAAAGGTTAAAGGTTACTTCTGCAGTACAAGTTTTTATATCACTGACTATTGACATCCTCTGAACTACATAAATATATTTTTTTCCCACTTAAAAGTATACTGCACATAGCAGGTGTGCTTTTTGTTAACATTTCAGGAAAGACAATAGGGAATCTTACATTTTCATACCAATGTAATGCAATGGGGTTAAAGTGGTTCACTTGTCATTTGAAAATAAAACAAACGGTTTAGTTATGTTATTGTTGGGGTTAGGGTTGGGGGGGGTTGAAATTAGGTCAGGATAATAAAAATACATGCTTGACCTACATGGACTTAAACCAGAGTATATAAATAATATTTCTATTGTGGTCATCCCGACTGCTGCCACCACTGACTCTGGATGTAGCCAACTATGCAAATACAAAAGCACCCGCTATTATGGAGCCGTAAATCTATCCTGAGAACTGGCCTGCAGACAGCGCTGGATCAACTCTCTGCTGTCCACCCTCACTGGCTGCTACACTGTGCTTTCTCTATGGCGACCTTCAGGGAATGCAGGCAATGAATCTATTCCTGTCTTTGGGGTAGTGTGTTTTTTTTCTTGACAACTGTTTGCGCACATATAACACAGTCTGTCGTCTCCTTTCTCACGCGCACAAAAGAGGCGTGCTGTTGGCGTCAATGGTCGAGTAGGATGTTGAGAGAACCTCTAGTGATTGCAACTTAGACCCAACAGCTGTTAATGCATCTGGCTCTGCTCGATCTATGACATAGGACCTTCAGCTGTTGACCTAAATGACCACAACATGCCAAGGGTAAAAACTGTGCATGCTGTCAGACTATTTATGGATGAGTGGTTTTACCTTTCTGGTTAAGCGAAACTGTTGACATTTTTGAGTAATTTACAACTTATGGGTGCTGTTCAGATTTTAGAATGTGATGTTGTCTCAGTTTGTAATTTGTCCTGAAATATTCAAAAGGTCAAAACCTAAATGTTGAACCTGGTCATTTCTTTTGATGACTACACCCAAGAGTTCACTGTAACAGAACAAAAATCGATTTAAAGGTCCTATATTACTCAAAATCGATTCTTATGAGCTTTAAGCCATGTCATAATGCTGTTACCTTCTCAAAAAACATACCTGGAATTATGCTTTGTTTCATTCACACACGTTTGCGTAATTCCAGTTTATTAGGCTATTTACATCTCCAAAGTTCAAAATGCTCTGTTCCACTTTGTGATGTCATGAAGCAGTAGTTAGCAGCTACCTTTTACCTTTTGTTCAGTAGAGATCGGTATTTCCAGGACTAAAATCATCCAAATGATTCTAGTGTAAGGAGTTTAAAAGCACAGTGGAGCACTTCCTGTACTACCACAAGGCATCACAAAAAGGAACAAAGTGTTTTCTATTTGAGAGAACTCAGCCTAAATATACAGGATTTGTGTGTTGAATGAAACAAAACACAACTCCATGTCTGTTTCTAATGAGGAAACAAGATTGAAACATAAATCAAAAAATAGTGTAATATGGGCCCTTTAAAGTAACAATATTAATCTGACCTGCCCCTTATCTGTATAAAAGAATATCAGCCTATAGAATGGTGATGTCATCTGAAACTCCGCAATACAGGGAGCAACAAGGTGGAATGTTGCTAAGAGGATGCAGAGATGAATACAAGTGGGGCGAGGGGCACTGATGTTTTATATTTGCCCACCCTGCGTTATTTATTGTGACTCACCATCGCTGTTGCCACGGTTCACCACATCAGGAGAAGGGCTGTGCTGTGAGCGCGAGCCAAATGAGTCCAGGCTGTTCAAACAGAATCAAAACTAAGATTAAAAAAAACAGAAGCATTATGTAACAGTCAATACAGTAAATGAAAAATGTCTGTGAAAATGATCAGATATTATATGCATTTTTCATCAAGAACATATTTCACTATTTCAATATGATGCTAACATGAGATATATTCTGTCTTTTATAATAATAATTTAAAATGCTACGTGCCACTATATTGCTATAATGTAAAAAAAAATGAAAGACTCTAAGAAAATAGGTATTAACCCAACGATTGTGACTTTCCCGATCTTAGTTTCCAATGTTAAGAAGTTAAAATCTAAACAAATATTTTAGTGAATGAAGCATAAAATGGTGATTTGTACGTAAACAAAACTAGGATTTAGCATTTAGGTGTCTGAAACCTTCTTGACTGATCGATTTATTGACATTGAATAAAGGAACCAAACAACTATTTTATTACTATAATTTTTTTAACTGATCAAACAAAACACAGAAGGAGAGACCTAAGAGCTGCAACACTCATGCTTGCCGCCAACCTCTGTGTCAATGACAAAAATTCAGCTTCAAATAGAAATGCTGTTTTTCCATAATTCTGGATGATCTAACAGCTCTCAGATTATGAACTATCTGACTGACTGCCCAGTGTGTTGTATTAAACAGTTACAAGGTCTCCTACACTTGCACCGGTTATACTTGCTGCACAGTAGAGTCTAACATAACAAACAGAAACAACAAACAGATTCCTTTAGACCAGTGACCTGTCCAGGGAGTTGTCTCGTGTGTGCCGTGGAGGAGACAGGGACTCGCTCCTCTCTGAGTCCCAGCAGTCATAACCACTGTCCCTGACGCTGCGCTTCTGTGAACTCTCCCCCGATTCTTCACTCTCCTGAAAACAGCACAACATGTGTTAGACAACAAGTTGATGAGTAGATAAAAACAAATTGTACCTCCCTAATGCATTGGTTGCTGGTTCAATGAAGCTAGCTGTACTGTAACTACTGAGTGTTCACTAAGCCATGTATTTGGTCCATATATAATATTTGATTTCAGAGCCATTTTGAATTTAAAATCACTTGAGGTAAAAATGGAAAATTTTAAGTCAAGATGCCATTTCCATCAGTTATATTCACACACTAGTGGTAGTTGTAAAAGTCTTTAAAAAAAGACTGTATCCTGTTCCCTTTGTTTGTCTGGACCCCCTCCTCTGAGCCTAATCATGACATGACCACCAAACCACTATCTCTGTGGTCTGTGTTTACACCTGTCAGCTTCTCTTGGACATCCTGACAAAAACAGGAAGTTGAGCCATTCCCTCCCCCGCTGCACTCCCCTCCTCCTCCTCCTCCTCCTCCGTGTCCTCTGTATCTCCCTCTCCCTGCTCCGTGTGTTCACTCACCAGCTTCATCTGAGCCAGCAGTCCTTCAAACTCTTTGAGGTTTAGTGTGGGCCCACTGTAGGAAGCACAGCCGCTGGCAGCCTTCCCGAGCCAGAAGACTGTGTTCAGCACCTAAGACACAAGCACTCTTGAGTATGCAATAGTGATAATAAGTAATGGATAAAAAAGAAGGAATAACAGGCATACGTTTTTCAGTTTGCGGTTGCAGTCTGAATCCCTGATGAAAGAAAAGACAAGAGTTAGACAGGAAAACTTTACAAACTAGTGGACGATTTAAGAAAAAGAACAAGTGGTTTCAATATTTCGAAGTATTTGGATTAGATTTGTGTTTTCAGAGCATTTGTGTAGGAGTCTGAACTACAGTATTAGCAGGTTTCTGACATAACAAGATTAAGAGGGCATATTCTAAGGAAAGCATGTTCCTTATATAACTGTAGTCTTTGCTGTTTGCAAATACAACAATTCAAACTGATTCTGTGCAAAAAAATAGTAATCAAATGTTCTTCAGATACAGTATGTACATATAATTACGCCTTATTTGACACCAGTCCATTACTATTGTTAGTATTTGCTTATTTTGAATTTTTATCATTAACCATATTTTTTGTTATTATATTTTATTGTGCTGTGTGAGCTACTGTGTCCAAATAATTTCCCTTGTGGATCAATAAGTCTAAGTCTAGTAAAAACATTTCTATTAGGAAGATTCTATACAAATTCAATCCTTGAATGCATATTTTGGAGAATTTTAGCTAAATAATAAAAAAAAAAAAAATAAAAAAAAGCAGGCTTTGGCCAAACACATTCTCAGATAAACTATTCTTGTTATTCTTGTCAACATACCTATAGCAGATTTTAAACAGAACTTTAGTGTTTTTACTACCACGATTAAAAAAATCTGTAATATATAGTAAGAGCTAAGCAATAATTACAAACAACAAAATCTAGTGTACTTGAGGTTGGCTCTTATGGAAGTGTCCTGGAGGTCCCCCGGGTCAAACAGTTGCGCTCCCTTCAATCCCAGCTCCTCACAGCCGCGCAGGAAGACTGACAAGTTGTCCTACACAAACCAGCGGGGGGGGGCAGAGCCACAATTTTATCACTTTGACAAAACGTCTGCTCCGGATATCCCACCAGCCGAGAGTCCACTTACCAGGCCTGCGATAGGGGTGGGCAGTCTGTTGATCTTCTTGACCAGCCCTGGCTTGATTGCACTGAGAAGCCTGAGTGGGGAAAGGGGAGGCGAATGAGTCCTGAGGTGTTTATGTATGTGGGGGCAAAGATCAAAACCAAAATGGAGGTGATGTAACGGGCTTACTCGCATAACAGGATGCCGTTCTCCAGCGCACTGCGGAAGTCCTTGTCGCCGAAGCTTTTGCCTGTGACGGCCTGTGGAGAGGACACAAGAAATAGTGCTTAAAATTAAAGAAAAAAAGTGTTCTCAAATCAGATTATTGAAGTGGGTGAACAAAAAAGGGGTATTACAAACTTTTGCATCATAAAAAATTACCCAGAACAATGTAAAAAATTACCCAGAACAATGTAAAGAGTAAAAGGTCCTATATTACACAAAAGTGATTCTTGTGAGCTTTAAGCCATGTTAGAATGTTATTAACTCATCAAAAATACACCCGGAGTTGTGTTTTGTTTCATTTACATATATTTGAGTAACCCTTTATTATTAATAGTCATAAAATGGTAGATCTTAAGTTAAGAGCGACCTTTTACCTTTTGTTAAGTAATGACAGGTGATTCTAGGTGTTAAATAATTCAAACAATTGGAGCACTTCCTGTATTATCACCTGACATCACAAGGTGGAACCAAGTGTTTTCTGCTTGACTGAAAAACTCATCTTAAATGTGCAAGGGTCGTGTGTTAAATATGTATAAATCAAACAAAATACAACTCCAGGTAAGATTTTCTTGGGGAAACAATATTGTAACAGATCAGAAAATTCATGTTTGGGTTAAAATTAAAATAAATACAGTAGTTTTCCAGAAGAAATCCTTAGATTATTAGCAGCGTTACACGTGGTTGCAGTTCAGAGGACAATATGTGCCCCTGTAATCCATACAATCTGAAAGCAATCCTGTGTTAGCAATTTCCCCCGTGTTTACTCTCAAATGCTTCAGATTTTGAGTCACAACAATGATTTTCTTCATTTCACTGTCATATGTTGATGCTTATTTCAGACAGTAGTAATTTTGTGAAGCTAATCAGAGATGTGTCCAACTCTGTGTCCTTCCTAGTAATAACATAGTGTCCCAGACAAGGTGACAAATAGCAAGGTTGTAAATAGATTTTGGCATTATTTTGTACACTCAAAAGAATCATTATGCTAAATTTTAACCAGATGAGCAATTTTGGACAGTCTACAGAATGTTTTGTACTGAAAAATCAATATATCTCCAAACTTAATAGCAGATCAAATGTTCACATTGTAATAGAATTTCAAACTCTCTCTCTCAAAAAAAAAAAAAAAAGACTTACATACTCAATAAAAGGCAACATCTACACCATGATGACGATTAAAACAGTATTTTACAAAATAGAAGGTCATTTTTTTCACACTATGAGAGACATTTGGACATTTGTTAAAAATTATCATGTATTCCAGCTGATACAGATCAAAACCATTCTAAAACTATTGAGGAAATGTCAATTTTATGTGTTCAAATGAGTATCTACTCTCTTACTAGTTCCAGTATCAAGTAGTATCTGTTGCTTTTTTGACACCTCAAATGTATTGTATAAAGCTGTAATAGAATAGATCTTAATATCCATAACAGTGGACATCTCTTTCTGGATTGTGCCCCAGTCCCAAAAAGAGGACTGTGAAGCTGCCCAGCCATACCCTTCCCCCGTCTCCTCTGGTACAAACCAAATTAGAGAGAAGCCAGTCCAATGATACACCCTGTGCCCTCATTCCATTTTCCCCTCAGCACCCACACACACACGCCTGGTTTAAAGACATGCTGCAGAAAGCCACTATGATAACCTCAATTCTCTGATGTGCTCTGCTGTGTTTGGAGGAGGAGGAGAGAAGCAGAGAAGCAGGGAGCAGACCTGACAGCGTGCTACCAGCCCACACACAAACATGCTTTTGGGGGTGTTGTGTAACTGCACTGTTGAATAGAAAGGCCAGGCTCCTTGGACCATTAATCCAGATTAATGCAGATTACTGTGGAGCAAAACTGTGAAGTTGGGGAACACTATACTGATCTAACAGCCCACCCTGGGGCCACAGCATGACTGTACCGTCTGGGAAGGAGCGGGACCAAACAGTATAAACGCTATTTGAAGAGTATGTTCAAGCATTTATATTAACTGGCTCATTTCTTACAAGTCAAATTATATTATTAGGTGTCAAAAATATACAGCATATGTTGTCTTAGTACTTCCTTTAGGTATTGTTGATCTGAGTGAAGTGAATAAAAGAAACGTCCTTACTGTTGTACCTGAACTACTTGTATAAATAGCTAAGTGGGCAATACTCATTCCTATAATTCCTATAGTTGATTAAACCTTATATAGTGAAATACAATTATAATAAATTGGTAAATAATTTAATATTACACAAAATTGACTCTTGTGAGCTTAAGACATGTTAGAATGCTATTACCTCCTCAAAAACACACATGGAGATGTGTTTTGTTTAATACACACATTTGAGTAATCCTCTATTATTAGTCTGTCTACAACTCTAAAGCTCAAAATGTTCTGTTGGACCTTGTGATATTATGAACCAGTGGTTTTCAAGTTAACAGCTACCTTTTACATTTAGTTCAATAAAGATGGGCAATTCCAGAGCTGAAATTATCAAAATTATTCTAGTGAAGGTGTATGAAGTTTCAAAACAAAGAGGAGAACTTCCTGTTTTAACACAGACATCTCAAGGTGGAGTATTTTCAGTTTAGGAGAATCCTAAATATGTAGGATTGGTGTGTTAAGCATATGTGACTTGAAAGTATATTATAACATAGATCAGAAGATATAATAATATATTCATAATATGCTCTTAATGAAATTTGTATTCAAAATAATAGGCTTTGACCATTTTTATAGTGTGACCATGTGTGGACTATAAAAAGTTCACAATTACCAACTGACCAACAAACAAACCAACTTGTTAACACATCCAAAAACATTTTCTTGGCTCAGGTTACCAACAACATGAGCCAAAGCTGTGAGCCAAATCCAGACAAGGGCCTGGATTCCTCTGCTGTGCTGGAATGTCACCGGAACTATTCGGACCCCACTTGGATAGGAAGTTCTGATAATGAATTTACCCAGGGGGAATAATAACATGGTTTAAGTAAAAGCTTGTACTAAATGCTTACAGCAAAATCCCATTATAGATTTAAAGGGACAGTATGTAAGACTTCGATTTAAAAATTACATAATATGACATGACCTCTCTGTGTGGGCATGTTCAAAACAAATACAGCGCTTAATGATAAATGAAATACACCAGCCTTACAGTTGTTATTATAATTTGACTTTTTGGTGGTTTTCAAGACAATTGTCCAATCAAAAAGCAGAATGAGCCTCATGTGACTTTCCCATTTGAGTTGTCAATTTCAGTGCTTCCTCTGATTTGAATCCCCATTGTCTAAACCCTAGCACCTGCATTCCATCACTAACCAGAGCTAGTGGTTGGCAGTTCGAATCCCGCTCTCGACTTAAAATATTATTGGTTGAGGGGTCAGATCCACTGACCCACAGGTTGGCAGTGTGATTCCAGCTCCCACAGGTGAATGCTGCCATTGTGTCCTTGACCAAGACACTTAACCAATCGCCCCCAGTGCATGTGTATACTGGTCTATGCATGTGTGTGAATGGGCGAGTGGTTCCTTGATGTAAAGAGCCTTGCAAAGTGAGTGCCGAGTCTATAGAAAAGCAGTATATAAATGTGACCATTGACCATAGTGCAGCCTCTGAGTGAAATCTGTAGGTTCTGTTCATATGAGGCATGGCCAAATCCATATATGGTACTGAGAATGAGGAAAAAATGGCTACAAACAGTCAGCTTAAGCATACATTAAAAATTGTGTGGTATAGTTTTCATCCATGAGTACACCTTCCTCCCCCAATTAAACTGTATCCAACATGCACAAGGAAATAACCCCCAATACATCAACAGCTACGAGAACATTCTATTGTTTTTTGTTACATAAGTCGTGTCCAGATGTTTCCCATTGGCATTCTGTTGCTTTTTCTTGTCTTTCATTGCTGTGCTCCTTCCCTCACAGATGCACAGGAGAGGTGGACTGTCTGTGCTCGGAGTCTGTGATGTTCATGAAAGTTTGCTCTGAAACATTTACACTGTTAGCTGTTAGTATGCATTATTTACGCACCAAGGAGAGCACTGTATTGAAACCAAGCAGAGCGCTTTTGTTAGAGCTTTTGTGTAGACAGGAAATGGACAGCATGCTAGGGCCTGGAAGACTTATTTTTGAAGATAATAGAAATACAAGTTACGATGTGGACTACATTGTTTTTCCAATTTAAGTACAGTTAAGATTTTTTTTAAAAGAGATAAATAGGAATTTCACAGTATTTTAGGAGAGATTATACTTTTAAAGTCACATAAAAATGAACTTACACTAACTTTACACACACAAGTGCACAAATATTACATTACACACTTTTGTATTACACTACTATACCAACACTAAACATTTTAGGTATTTTCATATCTTTTAAAAAATTATTATTATAGAGAATATACCGGTACTCAATATTCCCATCTTCATCTGAATTATCTCCTCACTACCTGCTGTTTGTGAATACTGCATAGATCTAAACTAGACTAGTCTGGACCCCTTGGGCTTGGATTAGAAAACATATGCCTATATAAATATATTGCATAACCAGGCTCCACTGCCTGGACACTGGCTGTGATGTTGCAGGACAGAGAGAAGGGACACTTTAGTCCTGAGGGCTATTACTCTCTTCAAACTGCCCTGACACAGAATCTTCAGTCCCTCTGACCAAACATCCTGTTAAACTGCACTGAGATCCATGTCTGAATATTATTGTATTTTATAGCAGCTCATTGCACTTAAAGGCCCTGTACCCGATTAACTTTGTTAATGTATAGATATACTGTATATGTAGCTCTTGAGGTCTGCATGTAATTATGAAAGCATTGTATAGTCTGATAAACAGAAGTGCATTGTTAGCATGTTAGTTGTTATTATCATTATTGTGAAGGCAAAACTTCGTTCTAGTCTCTGAAAGTTGTGAAAAGTGCTTATAAACTCATTCATTTTAAATAATTGGAATGCATAAGGTCAGTGAGGAATAACTTGGGACCACTGCAAACAATTTAAAATTGAAGTTATATTGAAGTTAGTTTGAACTGTTAATTAACTGAATTGCTATA